TGCAATAACTTCATCAAACACCTCAGGTTACTGATCCTCATAACTATTTCTGTGTATTTTAAAATAGTAATGCATCACAAAACAAAGTTCAGAGGCAACATGACATAAATAAAAAAAATAAGAAGTAAATATTAATTTATATCAAGGTAAAATTGATTGTGAGTGATGGCTCCTGAGTGGCTCATTTGGCAGGCTGAGCTTTATGAATTAAGCATCACAGGTTTAAACCCAGATTATGTCACTAACTTACTGCGACTGCAGTAAGAACAAAAAAATTCCTCATGTAAGATGTCCGTGATTTCTAGTAACAATACTTCTGAGAAAGAAGTATAAAAATAATTTTACCAATTGATTTAAATCCTGAGTTGGAAATAATAATAAAAACAATAATAATTGCTTACACTTATATAGCGCTTTTCTGGACAGTCCACTCAAAGCGCTTTACAAGTAATGGGGACTCCCCTCCACCACCACCAGTGTGCAGCTCCACCTGGATGATGCAACGGCAGCCATAGTGCGCCAGTGCCCTCACCATACATCAGCTACCAATGCGGAGGAGAACAGTGATGAAGTCAGTTTATAGATGGGGATTATTAGGAGGGCATGCTTGATAAAGGCCAATGGGAAATTTGGCCATGATGCCACGATAACACCCCTACTCTTTTCAAGAAACACCCTGGAATTTTTAATGACCACAGAGATTCAGGACTTTGGTTTTACATCTCATACGAAGGACTGCGCCTTTTTACAGTATAGTGCCCCCAGACCCACACAAATTGCAGGGTGAGCACCCCCTACTGGCCCCAATAACACAACTTCCAGCACAACCTTAGCTTTTCCAGGAGGTCTCCCATCCAGGTACTGACCTTCTTAGCTTCAGTTGGTTGCCATTTGGGAGTTGTAGGGTGATATGGCTCCTGGCAAATACAGGCCATACAATACTAAAAGCATAGTGTTGCTCAGCATGTTGCTTAGAAATGGATTTTAAGCATTTCTAGATTTAATAAATTAATCCCACAAATTTCAGACTACTATGCTTCTCTAATCTATTAACAGTGTTCTGATATAAACCTGACTCAAAATAATGACATAGCAAAACAGAAACAGATGAGTGTTCCAAGGCTCTGCTGACGTAAGGACCCACAATTACCTTTCACTTCCACTGCCGTAATACCTATTCCACCAGAAGAAAATTGTAGTGAAGTAAATATGCCAAAGGCTTCCATTTATTGACAATTTTCAGGGATGCACATAAGATCTCCTGAAGGTTAAACTGGTGCTACCGTAGTGAAACCACAATTAGTCTCAGGCAGATTAAATAGTGCACAGCAAATTCTGATGGTCACTGTCATGCAACTTGGTACCTGAAGAGCACATTTTCAGAACACCTTGTTGCAGAGGTATTATTGTCTGCTCCCGATATACAGCACAGAAACCTGCCAGCCTCAGTCATAATTCTAGAAGCTGTGTATTTACTGACACCAAAGTCTCAGATTTTCCCTACAACAGTTCACCCAGTTACTTATTCTTTAAGGTCACCTTGGTCACAGTCCATGCCTGCCAGTAGCCTTTTATCTTCAAAAGCATCACAAATATGCAGTGAAAGATTTACCAGTACTAAAAATGCTGTGTCATGATCGATTTCTAAAGTACATTCAACTGGATAGACTTTTGATCTTCATTTTGTAACACTGTTTATGCCATTTAACAGTGAGGTTCAATGTGTTTTTTCTATGCATCTCAGAAGCAATGGATGGTATACAGTATATCACAAAGAAACTGAAGGAGATTATTTTGCTCTAGTACTGAGTGAACATGAAGTGACAATAAATAACTGTGACGAGGTTGTGATTTCATTTTTTGTGTACATAAGAGTTATAAGATAACGGCTTTCAGTAATATATCAACAAAAAATATATTAAAATAGTGATGCAAGGTGCGTAATTCTATCAGAATTCAATTGTATTACCAATACCTATATTCATAGCAAGTGAGGAACAATGACTCAGAACAACCTCACTGGCGGTTCTCATTACTTTGGTACTGTAAGGAGTGTATTGTTAAACTGCATGAGGAAGATTAAGCTGTAGTTCACAAGAGTCAACAGTGGATATGTTTCAGTCCTTGAAACAATTTAGTAATATTTAGGTGATGGTTTCTAATCCAGCCCATCTCAAAGCTTCTATTCTGAGTTGTCCTTAGGGCAGTGTTGCAGTTAGATGACAAGGTTGTCCGAGAGAAAATATAGAAAATAGGTTTCCTGACTTGTCCTACTTGGGTTGGCAAGAGTAACTGCAAGCAAAAGTCCTCTTTTAAAGTAAAACTTTATTGATCTCATTATGTGGTTACTTTTATACTCAGGTTGCCTTCTAATACTGTTCAATGGTTTATTATTTTAATGATTTCTTTTACAATTGTGTAGATTTTATAACTATTACTCCATGATACTTTTCAATAAGCTAAAAGAGCTAAAATCAAACCAACAGTTTGCACAAGGACAACAATTGTTTTTATTTAAATAAAGACATGGCTTTTTTTATTGTAATTCCATTGAAACAGGAAGATATCTAAGTACACTACAGAAATATGATGATAATAATTATTAAAGTGACAAAAAGCAACAAATAAAACAGAGTGCAATAAATAGATTGTAGGACTGATAGTGGAGGAAGATATTCCTCTATTGGAGTAAAACTTGTCATAAACTTGTCCAATGTGGAAATGTGTGTAATGGTTGCTCTTAGGTTTGGGTCATTCGGTCATGTCTGGTTGTGCTCTCCATTGGTACCTTATACATATCATCGCAGATTGTTATAGGTGTTTGGAGACCCCATATCCTTGGTTTGCAAGAGGTCATCAAAACAATTTTTGAAAGCCAGTTCACAGGATTGCTAGGTGGCCTAAATGTCTTAGAATAAAGCTGTTGACCACATACAGGCCAGAGAGACTGGCAGCCCCAGGGCATGTTAGTCTATGGTGTTCCAGTAAGAAAAATCTGCACAACACAATGCAGAAATACACAGAACAATTGGAACTTGAATCTGTTATGTTTTCATGTTTACTTGCACAATTTTATTTACTATAAGAAAACTTGTACTTCTTTCTGAAGTTTAAATTGAACACAATTAACAAAGTATCAAATACAAACATAATAGTCTACCTGCACAAAAAGATCAAAGTTGTTTTTTATTGTAAAGGGTGCTGTGTCTAATAATTTGCCAAATAATGGCAAATTAAAATCTTAAATTATTAAAACAGAAAAGTACTTCTACTTGTTGCTGTATATGGATCAAAAACTCAGGATCTGCTGAGACATTAGGATTCTAGGTAATAACTTACATGAAAGAGTAATTACCGCTATGTACAAACTTCACATATCACTGTCTAAACAGCTAATGAAAAGGGACCATGGGTGAAATAGTTTTGCACCTTTCTTCTCACTTTCTTCCCTTATTTTGCTGTCATTAGACACTGTGTTCCTACAATCTTCATGCACTAGGCCATTTTCTATTACTTTCTATTACAGAACTTTCAACAACTAATATTTTCAGTGTAATTTTATCGTCATCCTCATGGCTAATTTATTGTTCTGCTTTTTCAGTGTAATTTACCACACACTTAAATAGATTGCTCGTAAGTGTAAATGTTAGCAGACTTCACTCAATCTGTTAGAATAAATGTGTTTTCCACATAATGACACCTCAGCAATTCAGCTATCATTACTTTCAAAAATATTGCAAAGAATATATTTTTCTTCATTTTCCTTGACCTAGCCACATCTGGTGTCTATTTTAACTTCATAACTGAATTTAGAAAATATAAGAAGGGCAACATTTGCACCTTTAATTATCAAACTGTTCCAAACAGAAAAAAGGAGCAAGAACCCATTTGCTTTGAAAGTGCTTACCTTGTTACTCACAACTTTATGAACAGGTGTGTAAACCTCTATTTTACTCACTAGTATATAAAGTTTAATAATTCATTGTAGTAATATGTATTTGATAAAAATATCTACTTTTTTAGAGTGACACTATCATATTGTTATGAAATATCACATTTATGACAATGTGCAAATATTTCTGCAACTCTATTTTTTGGAGTTCTCCAACAAATACTAATGGTATTCATGTCAGCTGAAAATAAAGGACATTAAATATTTAAGCTACTAAAAAATTCAGGTTTATACCCCTTGGCTCTAACAATATGCATTAAAATTACAATTACTTTATTTCTTACTGGGAAGCACAAATTACTAAACAGACCCATGGGAACCATTTCAATTTTGGTGAAACAATACCCCTGTCTAATTTTAATTACCCTGAGAACAAATTATGGTTACATTTTGAATTTAATGTGATATGAGATTTTATTTTTTCAGATCAGCAGTGGAAGTTACCAGTAGTTTATGTTAATGTTAAAAATACCTCAGCCAGCAATGTATGAACATTAAGCTGCTTTAGGCCTTTATGTGCCAAATTGCTCATTCAGTGATGGCAAGCTTATGGAAAGGGAGGAATTTTCTCAAGAAAAAGACCCTAATAGTGTGCTAATACAAATGTATACATATGAATTCTATACAACTGGCCCTTAAGCAAGACACCCAATGCAAAATGAGGGAAATTAGAAGAGTGCATCACTGCACACAGCAGATTCCCACACATTTCACCTCGGTATCCAGTGATGAAATGAAAGTCAACAATTTAAAGGCCATTAAAATGTGTCGGACGAAATAAGGCAAAAGACATATCAACCCACAAGAGTGAAAGTAACTGCACACCAAATCAAGAAAATATCACAAGAGAGGAAGACTACATATTCAGTCTCATGATCTACTGTAATCTTCTGATGTTTCAACTGCTGAACAAGCACACAATGACAATCCAGGCTGCCAGGATGTGTCGGGGGGGGGGGTCGTCTTTAGCAGAAGGTACAATTACATATGTTGCTCTCACAGAGCGATCTAATTTTCACAGAAGAAGCATAGCTCACGATAGCCTCACCTTGGAAGCTTGCCGCTGCCATCGTAAGTGCTCGGTGAAGTTTTCAAAACAGATGTAATAGGTCTGGCTTTGTGGCCCCGAAGAGCTGAAAGCCAGGCAGTGGTTATGTTTTTTCACTTCTTCTACCTGCAAAAATAAATAAAAATAAAGGCACATCAAGCTTTACATTTGATAATTGCAAACATAGGAAACAACATATCTATATCTTTTGAGGATGTCCTAGGCTCAGGGAGCTCATAACCAGAATTGATCATTTAATGTGTTTTAATTAGCAGGAATGACATATCACACAGCCAAAGTTCACCTACGGAACAAATTCATTACTGGTGCTCCTTTCTTCATTCCTTCAAAAAAACATTTGTAATCAGTGTGTTTACTTGTATATCATGAAATACTTGTTTAAAGACTAAGTTTAAAAACAGGAATGCTAAGCTCAAACAGAATCAATAACATTACAATGTAAGATTATTTAAAAATAATAGATGTGTTTCTTATACAGATGTACTAGAGAATTTAATATAGTTCTTTCAACTCTTGTTGGCCAGATTGTTTTATATAAAATAGTAGTCAGTGCTCATATATTGTAAGAAGGCTTGTGATACAAGAATAACTGAAAAGGTTTTCATTGCTATTTACAGAACTTAGAAGTCCTGACAGGCCAAAAGTTCAGATACAAAGTGCACTAACCTTTTCTGCTAGTGGGACAGGTCGTAAACAGTAACAAGTAACCATCTCAAAAATGTTAAGCCAAGCAAAATAGTCAATAAAAACAATCAGTAAAAATCTTTCTGAAAAAGCAGACTTTACACTCAATCTTTGGGGATAGTGGTCCACAGCTTTGGGGCATGTCGGCAAATTGCTTTGAGTATAGAGGAACAGTGTTGGCACACAGTTGAGCAAAAAGCAAGAGGTTTTATGTTTAAGAGGCTAAGCGGATAACAAATTGGTTAGATACTGGGGAGCCACGCCATTTAGAGATTATACTACAAACAGGCAGATCATAAATTAAACCAAAAATCTGTAAGGAACCTACTGCAAGGACTCCACGAGACATCAGGAATTATGTTATCACTTGTGGGTGACAATTCTAGCTTCCAAATTCTGAACATGTGATAACTTAGGTGTCGCTTCAGACTTAACAGTAGAAGGCCCTGTATTGAGCCCTGCAGAACATCCGATATAACCAAACAAACCTCAGAACTAAAACCACCAAGAGAAAAAAGAATGATGGACAAAAAAACAATAAGTTTCAATAAGTTAAAGGCAGTACTATAGATGTCAAACAATCTCACCAAATGAACAAGTAGAATATGGTAACAGAATTGTAAGCAGCACTTAGATCTAAGAAATTTAAGATTGCTTTTTAGAAGAGGACCAGTGTGATTTGGGAGGTGTCTGGTGGATGCTGATCAAATTACAGAAGGCAATGAACTGCACATGCAAGTTTTATTCATTTGTGCCTAAACAAAAATCTAAAGAATGAAGGCATCATATAAAACTACTAAGTTGCAATTCAGATGTAGAGTTAAAAGCTGTAGTTCAGTTACGAGTGCAAGCCAGTTAGCAGTCAGTCGGTTAGTTAAGAGCCAAAATCAATAAAAGACCTGGGTTACTGAAGAGAGTGACACATCTTGGCAATTGTTGCAATGACAAAAACTGTAAGCACTCTAAATTTTTAAGGCTGAATAGTTGTTTTTGGGGTATTGTGTTCATTTCTAACCTTCAAGTTACTTGGTCTATTAGACTGCTTAAAAGTTACTTCCCTAAACTTTTAAGACATAAATGTAGCACTACTTTAGACATGTTAACATAAAAACATGTCTGAAAGGGGATTCTCTAGAAAGGTATGAAAAAAAAAATATCCATTAGCAGAAAAATGTTAATGTTTTCTAACAGGAGAATGTACATACAAAAAACACCAGAGAAAAGTAGTTGATATTGGTAGCAGTTATTTTTGATAAAATATTTTTTTAGTTATCTTGTGTAGAGTCTCAGCAAAGCTCTTCATGGTAGTCCAGTGACACCCTCATATATCAAACCAAGATAAAACATGTTGCTATCGCAAAAACTCTACATTACAACCATATTATAAAAACGTGAGGTCAAGCCTGGTATTGCAGGTGTGTGTGTGTGAGTGAGATTACATACGTTTCTAATTAAACAATCTTCAAATTAATCCTCAAACAAAAAGTTTGAAATACTACAAATCAAATTCTCCATATTTTTTATCATATGGTAGTATTATGAAGCCTCAAAGTTTACAGAAATTTAAGGACGTTATCTAGATTATTACCAAGAATTAGAAGAAGAACATAAGTATTAGAGGAGGAACATACTGTATAAGCAAAGAATTCTGTAAGACGTAGTTGTTGGGAAAGCCAGAGAACTGCCTGGAGATCTGAACAAAATATTATCACCCTTAGCAATTCTACATAAAAACAGCACAAGTTATTTCAGTTTTGACCCAAGTGTCCATCATGAAGATGTTCAAGGCTAATGAGATGTTTGCTGCACCCAAGAAGAGGAATAACAAAGTTTTCAGGAAATGTGCAGTCACAAAAAGTGTTTGGGAGATCAACTCCAAATGTTTTTTAAAATCTTTTTAAAAAACCACTTGCTTTCACCAGAATGCAATCTCTCTCAGACAGAATGAGGTCTCTGGGGCTGACCTCATAAATTTGCTTTCTGAAGCAGGGTTCCATGGCAACATGAAAATAAAATAGATGAATTTGCCAAATAGAAATTGATTAACTCCCAGATTAAATTGTTCCAAACATTGTGGCTGGATGAAATGCAAATTAAGCCTTTGGACAGTTTCACAAGTGGTATGATCAGCAAAGAAAAGTGAAGTTCATGTTGAAAAAGAAAGTTGTGGACTGGGTTGCTTTAGTGCAGCTCTGTTTTCTCATCTTCATGCTCGAGTTGGAACCAATGGACAGGACCAAGACAGTTACTAAAAAATACGTTGCTTAAGGTGCAGATTAAGAGGTGATCTACTGGAGACAAAATACAAGAATACAGCAAATCAAATCTTGATGGCTAAATTTAAAAAAAAAAAAGATCTTTGTAACAAAAGTATTAATAGGGAAAGTTCTTGTTCTTAAATATTTTTGAGTTAACAACACCTAACAGAAAAAGGCTTAAGTTGTCTTAAAACTAGAACTGCCAGCTTTTTCACTACTGGGCAGTGGACAGCTCATTTTTTTTCAACCTAGCTTTTCAGAGAACTGATATAACTATCTATGCCACTGTCCTGATTCTAAATTTGGACTCCCTCTGGGCTTCTTAAATATAATAATTTTACTTTAGGAGCTAATTGGGATTCCAAAGTAGAGTATTTTATTAATTCGCAAAAGGTACAAATTAGAGGTACAAAATCAAGACGCAGATATTTAGCACACCAGCCAAAAAAGATCAAGTCCTTTAGTTTTATACTGATGAACCGCAAATTTCAATGCTACACATTTTTGAAAACATCTGAGTAGCCCACATGAATCTCTCCTTATAAAAAACAATGTTTCTGAAGAAGAATGACCCACATCAAAGAGTATGTATGGTGTTGAGTACAAATAGTTCATCTTATCCCTAGGGCTGAAAACAACAAATTACTACTCCTGTTTCCTAATAGGAAGAGAACAACTTCTGTGGAAAAGGGGATTAGGGGTGCTCTCATTTTCATAGGAGCACAAACCATTATGTGCACATTTGATGACAACTGATTACGTGGAGAAATCACAACATAAAACAGGAAAAAAAAACTAACAACTCTTTAACATATGAGTGAAAGGAAAAATAAAATACAAAGGGATTTAAGCTGTACAATTTTTAACTTAATAGTTTATCAATCAAAGATACAAAAACAGGACAGAGAAACCAGTCATTAAATGTAAGTATTCCTGATGATTAGGTACATTGATTTTTTTGTGAATGGCAAATTCTCAGATGTGGGACTTAGTACCTTATCATGAGACAAGCATCTCCATAGGAATATTTTTTAACAATTTCAGAAATAGTGTGATTTATTGGTAGTTAGTATTTTTAATATAAACAAATACTGAACACATAAATTAGATCACTGCTAAAGTATTATCGCTTACCCTATATTATATTACTTTTTCATTCTAAGTTGAGTGCACTTTCCTCACTTTTACATCTTGCTTTTATAACTATTAGAAATGCAGCACTATCATACTGTGATAAAGTTTATTACAGCACAGTAATAACAGTGTAATTATTACTGTGAGTGTCCCTTCCCACTCATCCAACTCACTCTCTTGCTTCTGCGGTTAGTTAATTCTTCTAAATTCTTTCACTATTCAAGAGACACGAGATAAGAGATGACACTGTGATGACTTAGGAACGATTTAGTTTTTCTTAAAACATTTATTTTACAGCACCCGCATTGCTCTGATAACTGGTCTCTACACATAGCTGACATCTAATTGTTTTCAAAAGTAAAATGAATAACTTAAACATAATACCCAATGCACTGTAACAAATATGGTACCTCTTTGTTAACCAAGGTATGCCTTGGATTTCCAAATCAAATGGGTTTATATTAAAATCTACAATTTTCCTTAACAAGTGAAATCAAAATATTTGTTAACTGTACCTCAAGATGTAAAGCTGAGCTGTGGAAAGTGCTGGCTAATACCTACTTATTTTTTAGATCTAAAAAAAAACTGTAGCTCCAATTCACATCATCAAATATTCCAGAGCAACACCAATGTGTTTTGGCTGCTGAACAAAACACCTACATGTAAGTAATGGCTCTGTGGAGATTAATAATAGCAACAAGGTCTTTGTTCCGACAGAATGGACTGATTCATTTATACCCAGGAAGATAGTACCTAATAGCCATGGATAATCTGCAAATTAAGGTACATTATGAATAACATATAAACCATTAATATGATTTCAGACCTTAGATTGACTAAAATATCCATATTGCAATATGCTCCCCATGAGGAGTTCCATATCACTGTTTTGCAAAAACATGGGAAAAACTTGTGTTAAAAAACAGGGCACAGGTGTATAAAAACAGCTGTTTATAGTTGTGCAGAAAACCTAAATTAAATAGTAAATATTTCATACCAGCTTCTAGAAAATAAAGAGATCATCTCTATCTTGTCTCCTGTAATGATGCCCAGGTTTTGAAAGAGAACAAGCCAGCATTAAGATTCTGTCAGACTTTAATAAACAATGGAGTACATAGCAATCAGTCATTTACAAAAGAGCTGGGTTCATCAGAACTGGCTCAACAGATATTGTGCTAGGCTACCAGATAATAATAATATTGATCTAATTTAGTCAAGGTTACACTAGGAAGACAGGTGATACTACCTAGTCTTAAAAAATACATATTAAGCTGTTTAACTGTAATATTATATTATTCTTAAACTCTGAAATACAGAATTATAAAAAATCCAACCTCTAGAGCTACCTAGCTGCAAAATTTTATGTTAGGAAAAAGGGCTTTTGTCTAATATGAGCTTTGTGTACTTAAAAAATAATATTATATAGAAAGCAGGCTAAGAACCTATTCATTTTCTAACACCTTTACCCAGATCCTTTCCCAGCAAACAAGTGGAGGAAAGAAGGTTTCACCCTGCATGGGACACCAGTTCATCACAGGGCACACACAGACACAAATGCACACACACTCATACCAGGGCCAATTTTCCCAGAAGCCAATTAACCTACCAGTATGTCTTTGGACTGTGGGAGGAAACCGGATCACCCAGAGGAAACCACGCGAACTCGGGGAGAAGATACAAACTCCATGCAGATAGCACCCCAGGAATTGAACCCAAGCCCCCAATGCTGCGAGGCAGCAATGTTAACCACTGCACCACCAGGTTGCCTGCAAGCTAACCAGTGTCAGGACAAAATCAGTCATTAAGTTCATTAATTGTTCTGGCCAGATACATGTTCGTCTGGAAGAAAATATTAATACACTACATCCTGAATTTAACAAAACATGTTTTAATAAATCTCTGCAACTCCATATTAACCATCCGATGTTTTCTTTTTGACAAAGCTGAAGAACTAGTAGGCTTCAAAAACAGGAAATTACCAAAGACAGGGAAATGAGTGAAAAGGCACACATGAAAATCAAGGCTTAAAAACGCACCTTTCCCCCAATCAGAGGCAGGATGTGCATCTTCCCTGACTGGCTTTCCTTGACTGATGACACAATGAGACAGGCGCCACACAGGATTGCCTGCCTCCTGGTCCAGCGGTTAACAGGCAGCTGCATCTTCCCTTTACGGATGTTGTAGGTCCCCGAGAGCTGGATCCGCTCGGAGCTCTCAACGCTGTGAGGCTTCCCTGGAATCACAGATCAAACAATCAGTGTGGCGCAGGACGCTGCCCAGAGGCGTCAGCGTGGAGCAGGACACCATGCCCTGAACACCAGCATACTGGCAAAACGTCAAAGCCAAACAGAACTGATATGCATCCCCACAAAATCATATCTAATATTAAAATCGTGTCTCCTAAGATCAAACATATTTTTTTAAATGCTGTTTTGGGTTCTCCCCACTGACAAAAAATCCGATAATAATGGAAAAAAAATGTGTGTGCATTCAAACACACCCCTTCACCCACTACACCATACATCCCTTCTCTTACAAGGTTTATGATTTACTCAGATATTCAACAACATTTTTTCTATTTGTTTAGGCTGTGGAAACGGTTGTCAGCAACACCCAGCCCCTCATTGTTAAGTAAGGATGCATTTCCCTCTTGCTGCCTGGAGCCCTGAAGAGCAGCTTCGCTGCTCCACAGCCCAGCAGCATGGCAGCTTCAACAAAATGTACTATGAAATGCCCAACTCGATTCGCCAATTCCATCAACAGCTCATCACCCAACAGAACCAGAACTGCTCTTCCTCCCGTGTGTCCATTTACTCACGTCAATGAGAAATGTATTGCCATTCCCATTTACCGTTTGTTAATATAACCACTCAACCAGTAACTGCTCATAACACGTTAAGCATCTATAGAAAACATGAAAAAGATTTACGAAGCTTCACCCCTTTCCACCTATACATAAACTTAAAAAAATAATAAATAATTTTCAAGTACTGCTGCATTTTAAAAATCAATAATAAAGTTGATTTTACAGAGGGACATTAAATTAATCATATGCCCTTGAATTAAAGTTTCTAACCTGCAAGGTACATTGGAGGTACACCAACGATTCATTTGTTGTGAATGATATAGCATATTTTTGTTAGTCGGAAAAAGCACAGAACTAAAACAAATCTGATGTACTAGCTTCTGCGAAAACATCTAAAGCGAGATCATTTTCTTTGAAAATAATGCCATTTAAATATTTTCCTTTGTAAGTTAGAGAATGCTTCATTATGGCTATCATTACTCATCAGAATGATCAATTGGTCAAAGATCTGATTGTTTTAGTTTGAATTTAACTGTAACCTGGGCTCTGGGGAAGCATTCAAGGGCCAGTGAATACCTTCAGGAGTACAGAAACTAGCTTCAGTGCTGTTGACTGGGTTACTCACATGAGCACGGAGCACATAGGGGAATCATTAGCAACAGGAGTGAGCCCTGTTCACAGCAGGATGAATACTAGATTACTTAGAAGTGCTGGGAGTGCCTTCAGATCACTTGCCTTATGATGAGAAAACTTTGGTTTATGCTGGAAATCAAAGCAAAAAATGAAGATGAAATAAATTTACAGCAAAGCATTTTTTAAGAACCTAGTTAATCCAATTGTAATTGCAACTAGTTTCCGGACTAGGTTAATTAACACTGCTAAAAAGGTCCCCGTGTGTGAATGTGCTCCCTGTGATAGACTAGTGTCTTGGACTCATACTTAGGAATGTACACCTAATGATTTGTAAATGTTCTCATTTACCTGAGACAATACAATAAGTGACTTTGGGGTTCAAAGTCTGTTCATCGCTACCTAGGTAAACGTACATTTGAAATAGGGCTTTACACAGAGGCAAGACAAATGAATGCATGTGCTTACAGCTTCACCTCACAAGCAAAAAGAGTATATCTTTCACCTAATATAGAGCACATTTCACAGAATTGAAGCCAGTTTCTGACACAGCCTTAAAACCAGACATAAAATGGGCACCAAAAATGCATTTTCCTTTACAGATCTGAGATGCACTGGACAAAAATGTTTTATTTCTAACAGGTCGCATATTTCACTCTTAAGATTTAAATCTGCAGATAAACACTCACTTCATTCAGTGATGTCATAACCACACAGCTCTTCTCATGGGAAAAACAGACTGCTTACACTCTACAAGTCTGCATAGCCAGCTTGCAGCTGAATACAGGCAGGTCCTTAAAAGCCCTTCAAGTAATTGAAAAACTTGCACAAGACAAAGTGGGCAATGTATTGCATGGTGGAATGCTGAGAGCTACTTTGAACAACCCTCTTCAGAATGCTTGGTTATTGTCTTTCCTAGAAATAATGAAAAATATCTGACATTTTAAATGTAGTTTTAGCCTCTGTGTTCTGAATAAGTATTATTGGTCAATTTTGTTATTCATTAATATCAGAGTTGTTTATTGTTTAAACTTTCAAAGAGAATACAATAATTTGATTTAGTGGTGAAAGGTCATTTGAGAATGAAATTTCAGTCCCTTGGTAAGAAATGAACTCAATACTTAAAAAAAACACTTCTTTGTGATGTTGTCCAAAGGAAGAGTAGTACCGCAACAGGATATTCATTCTCACTGTTCCTGTCTGACATCACAGGGAGACAAGGCTGCACTTCAGCTGGCAGCAAGAGTCAGACACAGATTCATGTGAACAGGATCCATGTGGGTGAAGCTGGGGAACTATGGGCGTCTTCAATACCTTCTTGCTGTGGACTTGTTTCTGTGCACGCGTTTGAGGAATGACCAGGGCAGGGGTGCGGCTCACAAATCAGCTGTTGTTAGTCAAAGCTGATCACTTCCTTCCTCCATACGCAGTTTACCACAGGAAAGGCCTTGGCTTCCCCTCCCTCAAGTACTACAGTGTAAGGGTTCATTTTCACATCGACTTCCCCAGCAACACACAAAAGAGCGATAAACAACGCATGGGGCTTGCGATTTTAGTCTCGCTCTTGTGGGAAAACTTGTGGGGGGGGGGGGATAATGTTACTTTGTATTTTAAACATTAAATTATTCTGTATAGGTGGACATATTCAACTGAAAGAAACAATTTTTGAAACAGGTCTGCAAAATTAAAAGAAAAATTCAGAAGTACTAATAATTCTGACATCTTGTATATGATTCTTGATTGGTATATTTATCGTGACGATTGTCAATACCACATTAATTCAACACCAAGCTACATTCAGTTGATGAACTGAATACAGGATCTTTACTTTACATGGCATGTCTTAAAATTGTGGAGGACTGAACCTGCAGCTAATCCTTAGCTTCACTCCCACCACTAAGACTCTTGATTTGTTTTCTAGCAGTAAATCAAGTAAAATAAATTTAACAAGTACGAGGAGAAACACTTTGAAAAAACCTTCCCAGTTTTCCAAAGCTGCAACATGAGAGTCAGAGGTCTTGCTGATGCAAAACAATTTCACCAGATTATTTAGTACTGTACATGTAGTTTTACATTTCACATAAAACAGACATACAGGTTATCCAAACTAGGAATTTAACTCTTACCCGTTTTATATATTGAGAACCAGTCTTCCCAAACACAGGAAAACCCTTGCTTATTTATAGCTCTGCCTGCGGAAACTTAAATTTGTGGCTCCTCCACCAACTCATGACTGTTGTCTCCTCGTGTTCCTTGCACAAGGTTCTCCACCCAGCTAGGCATTCAGTTGCATATTTTCACATTAGTATGCTCAGGTGATTGCAGTTCTCTCTCAACTACATTAAATTCTTTTGATATTTTTAAGCCTCGGGATTCAAGATTAATAACATTCCATTTGACTATTTCTACGACATTCATGTGCTTAATTGTAATTCACATTGTCGTGTGTTAGCCATTAAGGAATGTAGCACCGACATTGGCAACCTTATTCCAATATACTCAAATATTTACCAATCATGGTTTTGCAAGAGTTGGCAGGAACATAACACCCTGTGGATTCTGAGAGAAAATAATTCTAGAATTTATCTTACAAAAATGTACAGTATATAACAGTGTTTGCTACGTACACCCAGGACAGCATTATATAAGCCCCCTTATTATGTTTAGATGCAAAATTGTGTTTGCTTGTCAAGTTGTTTTCAGCACTTTCAATATGACAATATGGAGGAGAAGATGTCAGTCAGGAGTCAGCATTTCACAAAAAAGATCACCTTTTTGTTGCAGCAAGAGACTGTGAGAGTTGAAGATGTATAAGTTAATACACAAAAATGCCAAGACAAATTCTATTTAAATGACTCTAAAATGGAGAAGAGATATCCATGGCTTATATATATATATGATATAATTGCTTCATAAACTGTAAAATTTGCCAGAAAATGTCTCTGTAGATGTAGAAAATGTAGATTTGTGTAAAGACTTTCAATAATCTTCATTTAAAAGGCACAGAGATACTATTGCTTTTATTGAAATTCAGTAACAGTTGACAAGACTCGCAGATGAAGACCAAAAAAGTTCAGAATACCACTGCCAAGAAGCAACAGTTAATGAGGGGTTTTTTAATATTGCGGTTGCAGAGCTTAAATAACAAATTTAAACTTGATTTACTCATTTGCCCCAATGTGGTGGCTGAAGCTTAGCACAAACATGGAAGGAACAAAACAAAATTAGGTTTTTTCATGCTGCAGTTTTCCTTAATGCACAGACCAGTGCAACATTGGAAGACATGCACAAAACAAGTCAACCTACAGCTTAGTATCAACCGCATACATGTTACTCGATGTGGTGCAGCCGTATCACTCTGCAACTCACAACTGGCAACCCACTGAAGCTAAGCAGGTGTGAGCCTCGTCAGTACCTGGATGGGAGACCTCCTGGGAAAAACTAAGGTTGCTGCTGGAAGAGGTGTTAGTGGGGCCAGCAGGGGGCGCTCACC